AAAATTGATGTGGGTACTCAAATGAAAGCTCTTGATGAGTGTAACATCAAGATGAGCTTATATCTTAAAAATACATATTATATATATGTATATATCAAAAATATATCAAAAATTGATGTGGGTACTCAAACGAAAGCTCTTGATGAGTGTAACATCACTTAAGCAACCAGAATGATCCTTTAATTGAAAAATAAATAATAATTATAATTAAAAAAAAAATTAGTAGTTGTTAGTAAAAGTCAAAAATTGTCAGTCCTCAGTATCCATTCCCGTTAAAAGTTAGTAAATAAAAAAAAAAATAAATAAATACATACGATGATGTAAAGAACGCGGATTAATATGATGGGGAGAAGGTGTCCAAGTAAGTCTCGTCGGAGGACAATTACTATCATCCAATTTAGCATTATTACGATTAAGCTGTTGCTGCTGTTGTTGCCCGCTGACATTGCCAGCAGTTCCAGGAACAGTACCTACTACACCAGCTCTAGGGTAAATATTTTCATTTGCTAAAATAATAAAATCATAAAAAAAAAAAAATAAATAAAATAAAATAATAAATAATTGATTTATTTAATTTACTTGGATTAGGCGGAAGACCAGTGATAAATTGCGAGGACTGCGAATTACTGTTGGCGGACTGCGAGGACTGAGAATGGTGCTGTATCTGGTTAATCTCTCCGTCTACGTCCATACCGGTGGAGCCGCCGACGTTCGAAGAACCAGAAGCCGAGGAACCAGATCCGGATACAGCGCCACCACTCGGAACCCCTGGAACCGTGACGGTTCCACCGCCAACGCTGTATTCGTCTTTGACCAGTCGGCCACCAGGGCCCACTCCGACCCCAGATTGCAGAGTCAGACCTGATAAATCTGTAAAGAACGGGTCTAGGTCGAGAAGAACCCATTCGATGACATAAATGCAAATAATATAATAAAGCAGCGGTTGTTTTTTTATTTAACCCACTGTACTGCGAATTTTTAATTGGTACTTCGAATTTTTAGTATTTTTTTGGTGTACAGAAGGTTAAGTAGTTAGCTAAGTTTTGATTAAATGTGCCGTTAATTAAAAAAAAAAAATAAATTTTTAGGTTGAAGAACCTAGTAATTTTATTTTGTTATAAAATTGATTCCCAGGAGTGAACTATTGACATTTTTAAAGATATAAGCTCATCCCGATGTTATACTCGTTGAGACCTTTCATTTAAGTACTCACATCAATTGTTCATATATTTTATATATTTATATATATTATATATATGTATATATGAAAAATATATCAAAAATGCATGTGGGTACTCAAACGAAAGCTGTTGATGAGTGTAACATCGGGATGAGCTTATATCTTTGAAATATATATGTATAAATGAAAAATATATCAAAATTTAATATATGTTTAAATTAAAAAAAAAAATTATTTTTAGAAAATTGCACTTATTAGTTTTAAAGTTTTTTTTGCCATCATTTTTTTTTATAAATTTTTAAAAATTATTAAATTAATTTTCATTAATTGAGAAATGACCTTGTTTCTTGTGAACTATTGACATTTTTAAAGATATAAGCTCACCCTGACATAAAACTCATCCAGACCTTTCATTTGAGTACCTACATCAATTTTTCATATATTTTATATATTTATGTATATTATATATATGTATATATGAAAAATATATCGAAAATGCATGTGGGTACTCAAATGAAAGTTCTTGATGAGTGTAACATCAAAATGAGCTTATATTATTAAAAATATCATAATTTTATAAAATACAATATGATTTCTTAATTATTGACATTTTCAAAGATATAAGCTCACCCTGACATTACACTCATCGAGACCTTTCATTTGAGTATTTACATCAATTTTTCATATATTTTATATATTTATATATATTATATATATGTATATATGAAGAATATATAAAAATTGCATGTGGGTACTCAAATGAAAGCTCTTGATAAGTGTAACATCGGTATGAGCTGATATCTTCAAAAACGTCAATAGTTAAGAAAGTACAGTGCAATTTAACAAAAGTTAGGATTTCATTTTTTTAAACATATTTTAAATTAAGATTGTCCAATTTTTTGTTTTACATTATATTAATTAATCTTTTGAGAAACAAAATTAATGCTTTTAAATAATATTTTCTCAAGTTTAATAATTAATTTCAATCGACAAAGTCAATCATCCGGATACACCAATTATTGACAAGCTGATAAATCGATTGATCCAACTAGTGACATACCGTTGGACCAATTATTGACACCCTTAATGCTTACTTGTCACCATTAATTTGATCTAAATACAATAAGTAAAGTCTGATTGGAGAGGTTACAGCTTGGTATAAACTCACCTGTCAATATAACATCCATATATTTTGTGTACCAATTATTGACACCAATTATTTTATAATTAATAACCATTCAGTTGAATGTAAATATCCGATATTGTTAATTTTCAATACTTAATTTATTTATTAAAAAAAAATGTTTAATTTGATTAGTTTAAAAAATAATTAAAAATCTGGAAATTTTAGTGCTTACTTCTAGTTTATTTTACGAGCTTAAGAATACTAAACTTTATTATTTTAATTAATTAATCTTTCTCATTAATTTTTTTTTAATTCTTGTATAAAAAAATTGTTATTAATATTGTAGATAAATAAGATCTAAAATAAAATAGGTGTCAATAATTGGATCCCTGTTACTAATTGAAACCTTTACCTTAAATAAATTTACAAATAATATTCAGTTTATCTAACCAGATCAATATTTGGAATTAAAAAAATGGCACATTTAATTAAACATAAAATTAATCACATAACTAAAAATGATTGTTAAAGCTTAAATAAATTTTTAAAAAAAGCTATAACCCAAGTGATTGATTAAAAAATAAATATTAAAAAAAAATTTACCGATTCCTGGTGAAACAACACGCTCGTAGTGATAAGGGTTCACGCAAACGGAGTCGCACTTCAAGTCGAATGCAAACTGACAGTATTTTACGTGTTTCAGTTCGTTTTTGTGCAGGTCCGGCCATCGCCAGATCCGGGCGTAGATCACGTGTGGAAAACCTTTGCGTCCTGCTACTTGGAGACGACCATCAAGTGTCCTTTGGATGGTCACGCATTTACTTGGATGGGCGCCGTTTGTTGTTATTGCTGTTATTAAACTGTCCAATTCATCTCTTTTTTCCTAAAATTAGTGATTTTTTATTTTTAAGTGCCTTTGATAAATAAAAAAATCAGAATTGAATTATGTGTTTTTAATATATGGGTAATTCTCTGTAAGGATGTTTTTTGCTGTCCCAGGTATTTTTTTTATTAGAAAAATTGTAATTTTGTTACTAAAAAAAATTTATTACGAAAGTAAAAAAACATTTCTATTTGGAGCATTGAAAACTAAAATGAAATAAATTTTGGTTTTTTTGCTATAAATTGGTAAACCACCGAAATAGTCCCCTGGGCTGTCCCATTCCCAAAATTAAAACTTTAAGATTATATTTTAAGTTATTCGTCCATAATATATCATTTGCTCCATAATGTTTATAAACTTAATTAGTTAACTAACAATCTTCTTCAATAAAAAGTACCGAAAATTAATTTGTTTCATTAAATTCATTAAACCAAAGTTTGTCCCAGGCATTTTAAGAACAGTCCCCTGCCAGAAGTTCAAAGCCAAAAAAAAAAATCCAGCGTGTTATTTTACCTTTTGTAAGGTTTATAAGGACCTAACTAGCCTTGAGTTAATAACCATAGGACTGTTAGAGCTTTATCGGCATTTTATTTAGTGTCAAAGCACCGTTTGTGCTGGAAATATGTGTCTGGGCCACTTGAAAACGTCAGTCCCCTGGCAACTATTTTTATTTATAATTTATTTATAAAATTCGATTCATAAGTCTTAATATTATTCTAATTAATGTAAACATTGATTGAGAACTTGAAAAGTTGAATGCATTGAAATAGTTTGCTTGATTTTTCTCAATTTGATAAAAAAAAAACAGTCCCCTGTGATGTTATATGGCAAAAGATACACAAATATCGAAAAAGCAAAAATTAAATCTGTTTATTTATTATGATTAAGATAGTTTTGTAGCTCTTGTTAATTTTTTTTCTAATAAAATCAAAAATAATTTGGTCGGACAATTTTGTACAGATTTAAGACGTCCTTATAGAGAATCATCCATATACTTTTTTTTCTTGATGTTTATGTATTTGTAAACTTAAATACTAAAGCTTGAGTAATTTTAGGTATCACTAGAGGATATAATTTTCCTAATAAGGTTTAAGTAATAATTATATCCGGTCAGGTCTTAATTTTATCTTTCTAGGAAGAAAATGCTTAAAATGTATTATAGAAAAATAATAATAAATAATTTATGTACTCAAATACTAAATCTTGAGTAATTAAATCGGTTGAGTACAGTTAATAATTTATCTAAGAAAATATGATTATATTTTGTCAAATTTTAATTTTTTAGGAAAAAAAATCAATGCTTCAAATTTATTATAAAAAAAATAAAAATATTCTATTAATAAACTTAAATACTAAAATTAGTAGATAGTTAATTTATTATAAGTCTTTTAGTTGCATTCAAAAATGCTCAATCTCTAGATAAATAATTAAGAAAATACTCTTTATCTTATGAAATATTGACATTTTTGAAGATACAAGCTCATCCTGACATTACACCTATTGAGACCTTTCATTTGAGTACCCACATTTATTTTTCATATATTTTATATATTTATATATATTATATATATGTATATATCAAAAATGCATGTGGGTACTCAAATAAAAGCTCTGGATGAGTGTAACATCAAAATGAGCTTATATATTTAAAAATATATATGATATACATTACAAAATTGAGAAATGACCTTGTATCTTGTCAACTATTGACATTTTTAAAGATATAAGCTCACTTTGACATTACATTAATCGAGACCTTTCATTTGAGTACCCACATTAATTTTTCATATATTTTATATATTTATATATACTATATATATGTATATATCAAAAATATATAAAAAATGCATGTGGGTACTCAAATGAAAGCTCTTGATGAGAGTAACATCAGGATGAGCTTATATATTTAAAATATATATGATACACACTACAAAATTAAGAAATGACCTTGTATCTTGTCAACTATTGACATTTTTAACGATATAAGCTCATCTTGACATAACACTCATCGAGACCTTTCATTTGAGTACCTACATCAATTTTTTATTTATTTTATATATTTATGTATATCATATATATGTATATATGAAAAATATATAAAAAATGCATGTGGGTACTCAAATGAAAGCTCTTGATGAGCTTATCATCAGGATGAGCTTATATCTTAAAAAACTTCAATATTTAAACAAATTTATTGCTAAAAATTGTCAACTTAATAAATACCTTCAATTTTTTAACCAGCGATTCAATGGCACGTTTGCTAAATCCCTCGCTCTCACCACCCTGGCGATGACACATAAGCGAGTGGACAATACTCAAACACGCATCGGCGCTCGTAGGCGCCGTTGGCGTGATCCCCGTCATTTCTCTCACTAAAAATAAAAAAAAAAATCATCAAATAATTAATTTACTAATTAAAAAAAAAATAAATAAAATATAAAATAAACATAATAAGTACTTACACTCGGAATTATTAGTCTGCATCGGGGGCGAGGGATACAAATGTCCTCCCCCGCCCGCAAGTCCCACCATCTCCGTAAAAGCCGTGGCTATTTTATTTATTTATTATTTTTAAAAATAAAAATCCAAATTAAATAATTTTTTTTCTGAAAAAAAAAAAATTTTATCAATTTTATAAAAAATATTTTTTTTAAATTACAGAAAAAAAAAAATATATAATTACCTACTTGTTAAATTGTTGGAGCTCTTTTTGTGTATTTAATTTATTGTTGGTTAAATTATTGTGAGGTGATACGAATGTCACTGGAATAACTTAATTGTATGGTTATGATTGAGTAATTTTATCAAACCACGTTTCTTTTGAGGGTAAAGGATAAATTTTGGCACACATTTATCAGGAATTAATATTATTTTTTTTAATATAACACTGATTTTATGGTGATTACTTTTATCAATGGTTTGTTTATAATATTATTAGGAATAACAAAGCAATCACAAGCCGTTTGAGGCTTAATTTTTATTATACATATTTTGTTTCATGTGTGTAATGTATAGTGTGTGAAGTTTGATAATCGGTGACGGAGAAGGGGAAATGGATAAAATTGTTTCTGTCACTAGGCGGTAGGTGGTAGAAAGCGCGGGAAATTTAAACAGTTTAAAAAAAAAGTGGAAGTTTATTAAAAAATAAAAATGATAAGGTAAAATAAAAAGCTCCAATTATTGACACCCTAAATTATTTTTAAATATATTTATCTGTAATAAGAATAACTATATAAATTTTTATTAAATTCTAATTAATTAAAAAATTGAAAAAAATTACTCAGTTCAAAATATTAAATGTTAATTATTAAAAAAAAGAGCACCAGTTCATCAAATCAGCTTACGAGCGTCTTTCTTAACAACTTTGGTTAGAAAAGCAATTTTTTTAAATGCTGTTTAAATTAATTTCTTCATCTAATTATATGATCTTTTTTTTTTTTAATTAACAATTCCCTAGCGGTTTTGTAAATGCCGAAAAAATGTCGCAGTTATACAGTATTAATGACGTATTTTTTCAGCATTTTTTCGGTTGTTTTGGTCAGTTTCTTCATCGAAATATTACGGAACATTTACTGTAAAAATACGAAATATTTACGCTAAAAATGCGGCATATTTATGGTAATAAGGCGGTAAAATGACTGTATTAAAAATTAAAACCATATTTAAAAAATGGTGTGAAATTAAATAAAGCTCAAATCTGGGATTCGAACTCAGAACCTCCCGAGGACAAATCGGCTACTCTACCATTTGAGCTACCCGGCCTGTAGCATATTTTTTTTTGCTTATTCTATATACATCAAGCCATACTGTCCATCTTACGATAAGCATATTTAAAATTAAATAATATAGTTATATATGTGAAACAATATAACTTTTCGATTTTAGAAAATTTACAATTTTCTAAGTGAGAAATTAAAAATTGAAATTGAAATTAGAATATATTTACTTAACATATGTATTCTTTAGTATTCATTACCGCTAAATACGTAATTAAAAAATAATACTCTACATAGTATTTATTCAAAAACAGTATTTGTTTTTGCAAAGTAGCGATAGAGAATAAAAAGCAAAATTGGAAATTTATCATTTTATTCATTTCTAACATAGAAGTGAACTAAAAATAAAACCAAATTTTCAATAATTTTCCATTATGTCAGAAAATATTCGGCAAAATTACTGTATTATTACGGTAATTATTTGGAATTTTTTGGGTAAAATTTGGGCATTAATGCGATAATTGTATAGTATATTTTTGGTAACTGTACAGCATAAGTGCAGTATATATACTGGATATTTACAGTATAAAAACTGGCCAAAACAACTATAGTTTAACCGCATTATTACCGTAAATATACGGCATGAGCATAAATGCCGAAACATTACGGTATTTTTACGGCATTCTCAAAACCGCGAAGGAATATATGAAAAATTTATAAAATTAAATAATCGAAATTATTAAAAATTATTAATACTGCGACCTAGATCTTTAAATCCTGATTAAAATGAGTACCTACAACCCTTATTGATTAATATTTGTTCCTATCAAAAATCGCATTAATAATTTATCAAATGATCTATAGATCATTAATCAAAATTGACCTGCGACCAAATGAGTCGTGAAACGGCTCATTTTATTCGGGAGTTATCAAAGATTAATAATTTTTAATTAGTTTATTTTTAAAAAATTTCCTAGACCCATTAATCGCCTCATTAATCATTAATGAAAAAAACTTTTTTACTTTTTATTTTAAAGATATAGGATAGTTAAAAAAGTTATTTTTAATTAATAATTTCTTTAATAATGGTCCAAACTTTATTATTTCAAATTTTTTTAAAAAATCTTTAATAAAGAAATACAATTTATAATGGTTTAAATATTTATTGTCGTCCATTTTTCTCTACTAATTAATAGTCGAGAAAATACTTTATTAAATTGCCGGTACATGATCCAAATGACGAATATTTAATTCCCTCACTTCTTGAAATAGAATTTTTCTTCCTGGACAATTGATGCGACGGAAATTCAAGTCGTAGCACACTTTGATTTCTTTCAAGTAATACTCTATAACACGATTTTTCTAAAGAAAAAAAAAAAAACAGAAAAATGTGATAAGCAACATTTAAAAATTATAAAATAGATAGTTACTTAAACTATTTTTAGTTAAATATGGGCTTAATAGTAATCTTTATTAACTTTAACTCAGAAAACAGAAAAAATAATTCTTACAGCCCGGACCGGGAATCGAACCTGGATCTTTTGGTCAAGCACCAACGGCTCGGACAGTTAAGCTATTTAATCCATTTTTCTCTATGTGTAAATAAAAAAAAAAAGTTACCTTATTGACAACAATTTCGATTCGAACAGTCGTTCCAATTTTCTCGCTGATTTTATCCACAATGTCTCCGTAGGTCATGATCTTCCCAGGATTCAGGCCAATATCCGATAAAACATTGTCCATGTTGACACTAGTCGCCAAACTGACCGCCATTTTGAAGTACCCAATATCGGAACCAATCAAAGGCGATCTTGCTGCGCAAGCGCCATGGGTCGTGAATTCATAGTCCCAAAAACTAATCAAAGAACAGCCTCTCTGTTTATAAGGACAAATATTGATCCACTTGCTCTCTAAGCTGGCTCTTAGTCCTTTTTCACGCTCTAATCGATGCTGATTAAAGGTAACAGAAGTCCGCTTGTGGCAGTTTTCTGGCGTAATGCCAACATAAGTAGAAGGCCACAATCCATGAATTAACCATCTGGCAATATTGACGTTGTCATTGATAGGTTTGTTATTGGTCTTGTACTCGTATCCCAAAGCCGGGGGCCAGAAGAGGCTGAAAGTGAAGTAATTGAAGCACTGTCCTGCTGGAGAGGTGTCATCTTTGCAGGTCATATCACTGACGGCACTTGGGATGTGTGGTACCAAAGAAGAATCGCTGAGTTTTCTACCTCTGCCCAATCCCGGGCTGTTTCGACCAGCGCTTAGTGAGCTGAATGATCCACTAGACGTGCTGTGATAACTAGCTCCAAGACCTGAAGTGGTCGTCAATGAAGATGATGAGCTTCCGAAGTTTTTGTTCTTTTGCAATGGACTATTCATCGGACTATTGAATTGGCTGGGGAAGCGGGAATCTTTGGTAGTGTCAACACTGCCACCACGTACAAATGCTCGCTGATGAGCGGAAGATTGAGAGTTTAGTGTTAAACTGCTTGATCGCTCTACTGGATACAAGCTGGACTTCAGCAAGCGTGGAGCACCCAAGGCAGGATACTCTTCCAAAGATATCTTCCTTTCGGAATTAGGTGTTCCTGCTGGAGGGTTTTTGAGGATACGAAGATTACTACCGCTACTGCGCAAAGCTGGGAACTGATCAAGGGACAATTTGCTCTGAGAATGAGCCAATGATTCCAAGCTAGGGCGACTGCTGGGATTCTCGGAATGACTGGAGACAGGCAAAGCGGGAAAATCGTGCGGAGAAAACTTCCTTTGTGCTTCAGATGACTTCAAAGACTTTTTATTGAAAGTCTCGGCATAACTGCTGCTTCCAGACAATGCGGGATTCCGATTAGCGTTGAGACGCTCGCTACTGCCGCCTAACAGAGGAAACTCTTCAGGTTGTTTAGGTTGGTTCACATGGTCGCTTGATTTCCGTGCGCCTGGGAGTCGTGCAAAAGGATTTTTTGATAGAATTGACTTGGTTTGAGGTGGAAGAGGTGACTCTCGTTGAGGAGGCGGTGAAAGTCTAGTATATTGATCAACCTTTCTAGCGTGATTTCCGTCTAACGCTGGGAAGTCATCGTGTTTGCGATGTTCAACTGATTTGTGAGTTCCAGAAGTTCCTGGTAAACGGAAGGACTTTTTTGGGGTAACCAATCTCGCTTCAGTGACTCCTGAAGATCCTGGATTGGGGTTAGTGGGTGAAGGCGGTCGGCTTATAGTTGGTTGCGGGACTGAATTACCAGGTAATGGTGATGAATATCTGGACGGAGAATCAGAAGTAAATCGGTTAATGCATTACCTGACGATTTGATGGAGTTAAGCTTTAAAATTACTGGTAAACAATGCAACTTACACTTTTTTTAACTGTATCTTCTTTCTTCCAGCATCGGATGTTGGCAGCAAGATGACGATGACAATTGCTGCAAGCAATCGGAGGCACTTACTGAGCTTCATTCTTGAAAGATTTTAGCGTTGTCTTCAAGAAGACACGGGGAACTTTAATTAAAATCTTGATGATGGACTGTTTATATGCAACTGCGATGACGTACAAAGATTTAATGTTGCTAACACGTCATTGGTTAATAATAACTTTATATCTTCTGACGCACTTAGTAGTTTTTTTGATGTCTTCTTATCATGAACCATTTTTTGGTGGTATAATTAACAATTTGATCCAGTTATTTAATTGGATTTATCGTTGTAATTTATCGTTGTAATTTATCGTAAGGAGTAATTAGGTGAAAAATTTCCAGCGACAAATGATGATACGTGGCAATGATCGATCGGCTGGGGTGATTAAATGTTGTAAAAAAATATACTTTTATGTATAAGTATATTTTTTTATTGATTTATTGCTTGTTTAACGTCATTACAAAGATAAAAAAAGGAATCGGTTAATTAATTAAGTTAGTTTTGGTTTATAATTAGATTGAAATAGTTGATTGAAGCGTAGGTACGTGATCTAAATAAGTGATTTCTTTGGACCTCACATCTGTTGATATAAGTCCAGTTCCTGGACAATTAATGCGATGGAATTGCAAATCGTAGCAAACTTTAATTTCTTTTAGATAATGCTTATTATTGTTAATCTAAAAAAGAAAAAAATTCATAAATAATCGTCTTTGACGTTACTCATATAACAATCTTTTTCAAGGCTTGAGCAAGTCTGGTCTCAATTTCGATAGTTGTTAGTGTCTTTTTCTACCTATGGGTCTTGCTCCAGATACTTGTAGCAAATTCAATTAACAAGTCTTGAACAAGCCTTGTACAAGAACTTTCGGCCAGATTATAGCTCAACAATTGTGTAAGAAAATTGAGAAAATCTGAAGATGCTTATCGATAAACTAACTATATCAATTCTTGAGAAAGACTATGACACCGGAAGCATGCTGAATATATTTGTGCAAGACTTGCTCAAGATCTGCTCAAGATCAAATGTTTTCGAATGACCGTTCTTATCATTCTACCCCTCCTATATTTACTATATAGGATCAGTGGATCTCATTCAGCTTAACCTTTTAGAGTACAGACCTACTGTTTTATCGATCAAGACAAAATTATTTTAAAATGACCACCACTGTATCAATACATCTTCAAGTAGTTGTCGGGGAAAAAGTGCTATAAAATATATAATGCATGATGCATCTTGAGCAAATCTTGAGCAAGTCACGCTTCAACATTTGCTGTTAGTTTTTGGTTGACAAATGCTTTAGAAATGAACAAACTACTGAGAATTACGGATCTTGAGCAAGTCATGGGTACCCTAGCGGTTTTGTAAATGCCGAAAAAATATCGCAGTTATACAGTATATTAATGCGGTATTTTTTCAGCATTTTTACGGTTGTTTTGGTCAGTTTTTTCATCGAAATGTTACGGAACATTTACCGTAAAAATGCGGCATATTTATGGTAATAAGGCGGTAAAATGACTGTATTAAAACCATATTTAAAAATATGGTGTAAAATTAAACTAAGCTCCGACTGGGATTGGAACTCAGAACCTCCCGAGGACAAATCGGCTACTTTACCATTTGAGCTACCCGGCCTGTACCATATTTCTTTTTGCTTATTCTATATACATCAAGCCATACCGTCCATCTTACGATAAGCATATTTAAAATTAAATAATATAGTTATATATGTGAAACAATGTAACTTTTTGATTTTAGAAAAATTTGCAATTTTCTATGTGAGAAATTAAAAATTGAAATTAAAATTAGAATATATTTACTTAACATATATATTCTTTAATATTCATTACCGCTAAATACCTAATTAAAAAATAATATTCTACATAGAATTTATTCAAAAACAGTATTTGTTTTTGCAAAGTAGCGATGGAGAATAAAAAGCAAAATTGGAAATTTTTCATTTTATTCATTTCTAACATAAAAGTGAACTAAAAATAAAACTAAATTTTTAATAATTTTCCATTATGTCAGAAAATATTCGGCAAAATTACTGCATTATTACGGTAATTATTTGGAATTTTTTGGATAAAATTTGGGCATTCATGCGCTAATTGTATAGTATATTTTTGGTAACTGTACAGCATAAATGCAGTATATATACTGGATATTTAGAGTATAAAAACTGGCCAAAATAACTATAGTTTAACCACATTATTACGGTAAATATACGGCATGAGCATAAATGCCGAAAAATTACGTTTTTTTTTACGGCATTCTCAAAACCACGAGGGTAAGTGTCTGTTGTGAGTTTCTGATTCAAAAAATCCGTCAGAAAGTTTTTCAATGCCCCTTGCATAAGACTTGTCTTGTATTCTTGCACAAGATGTCTTGAGCTAGTTATATATAAATCTTGAAGCAGTTCTTTCTACATGAATTTGAACAAGAACCATATGTAGAAAAAGACACTAGCAACTAGGGGTTTTACTCAAGACACTGGCACCTAAATCTTGCTCAAGCATCACATGTTAGCTGGGTATATAAATTAATAAAAAGTAAAAAAAAAAAGTTGATTACCTTGTCTGAAATGAATTCAATTCGAGCTCTCTTTCCCAATTTCTCATTAACTTTTTCCACAAGATCTCCATAACTCATTTGGGTTCCAACCTCGAAGCCAATATTCAATAAAACGTTGGTAATTCCTACGTTATCGAACAAACTGTTCGCCATTTTGAAGTATCCAACATCAGAACCAATCAACAGCGATCTTGCTGCGCACGCGCCGTGCTTTGAAAACTCTCGGTCCCAGAAACTAACCGCAGAAGAGCCTGTCCATTTGTAAGGACAAATGGTGACCCACTTGTTCTCTAAGCTGGCTCTTAATCCTTTTTCACGCTCGAATCGATACTGGTTGAAGGTAACAGAAGTCCGCTTGTGGCAGTTTTCAGGCACAATTCCGCTGTGGGAAGACGGCCATAGTGCGTGGATCGACCATTTTAGTGTGTTTATATTGTCATTCACCGGTTTGTTCTTCGTCTGGTACTCGTATCCCAAAGCCGGGGGCCAAAAGAGGCTGAAAGTGAAGTAATTGAAGCACTGTTCTGCTGGAGAGGTGTCGTCTTTGCAGGTCATATCACTGACGGCAACTGGGGTATGTGGTACCAAAGAAGCATCGCTGAATTTTCTACCTCTGCCCATTCCCGGGCTGTTTCGACCAGTGCTTAGTGAGCTGAATGATCCACTAGTCGCGCTGTGGTAACTAGCTCCAAGACCTGAAGTGCTCGTCAATGAAGACGATGAGCTTCCGAAGAAGTTTTTGTTTTGGTAGAATGGGCTATTTAGCGGACTATTTAAGTCGCTGGGGAATCGCAGACTTCTGGTCGAGTCAACACTGCCTTCTCGGACGAATCCTTGTAAGTTTGTTGATGATTGGGTGTTTCGCAGTGTCAAACTGTTTGATTTTGAGATACCTCTTGAAGCGCCCAACGCAGGAAACTCGTCCAAGGACATCTTCCGTAGTGAATTAGCTGATGGATTTAATCCGTCTGGAGAGTTTTTGGGGATATGGAAACTACTACCGCGATCGCGCAAAAGAGGGAACTGATCGAGGGACAATTTGTTCTGAGAATTCGCCAATGATTCCAAGCTAGGGTGACTGCTGGGATTCTTGGAATTACTGGAGACAGGCAAAGCGGGAAAATCTTGCGGAGAAAACTTTCTATGTGCTTCAGGTGATTCCAAAGACTTTTTAGTCAAGGCTTCGCTATGATTGCTGCTTCCAGGCAAGGCAGGAATTTGATTAAGCGACGATTTGCTTTGAGAACTCAATGATTCTAAGCTAGGGTGACTTCTGGGATTTTTGGAATGATGAGAGCCAGACAGAGCAGGATAATCTTGAAAAGAAAACTTTCTATGTGCTTCAGGTGATTCCAAAGACTTTTTAGTCAAGGCTTCGCCATGATTGCTGCTTCCAGGCAAGGCAGGAATTTGATTAAGGGACGATTTGCTCTGAGAATTCGCCAATGATTCCAAGCTAGGGCGACTGCTAGGGTTCTGGGAATGACTGGAACCAGGCAAAGCGGGATACTCATGAAGAGAAAACTTCCTTTGTGCTTCAGGTGACTCCAAAGACTTTTTATTGAAAGTTTCGGCATGACTGCTGCTTCCAGGCAATGCGGGATTCCGATTAGCGTTGAGACGGTTGCTACTGCCGCCTAACGGAGGAAACTCTTCAGGTTGTTTAGGTTGGTTCACATGGTCGCTTGATTTCCGTGCGCCTGGGAGTCGTGCAAAAGAATTTTTTGATAGAATTGACTCGATTTGAGGTGGAAGAGGTGACTCTCGTTGAGGAGGCGGTGAAAGTCCAGCATATTGATCAACCTTTCTAGCGTGATTCCCGTCTGACGTTGGGAAGTCATCGTGTTTGCGATGTTCAACTGATTTGTGAGTTCCAGAAGTTCCTGGTAAACGGAAGGACTCTTTTGGGGTAACCAATCTCGCTTCAGTGACTCCTGAAGATCCTGGATTGGGGTTAGTGGGTGAAGGCGGTCGGCTTATAGTTGGTTGCGGGACTGAATTAACAGGTAATGCTGATGAATATCTGGACGGAGAATCAGAATTAAATCGGTTAATGCGTTACCTGACGATTTGATAGAGTTAAGCTTTAAAATTACTGGTAAACAATCCAACTTACATTTGTTTGAACTGAATCTTCCTTTTTACAGCATCGGATTTGGGCAGCAAGATGACAATGACAATTGCTGCAAGCAATCGGAGGCACTTACTGAGCTTCATTCTTGAAAGATTTTAGCGTTGTCTTCAAGAAGACACGTAGAACTTTAATTAAAATCTTGATGATGGACTATTTATATCCAATTGCAATGACATACAATGATTCAATTTTCCCAGCTCGTCATTCGTTGATAAGAACTATATATCTTTCGAAATACCGGGTTTTTTTTTTCGATGAAACGGAGAATTAACAGCAGATGGTTCAGTTTATCGTCTGTTTAATAATACTTTTAAAACTGTATTACTGAAGACTAGTTTTTATTGCGGGATTGTCATTAGATAGACTATTGTCAGATATTACTCACAATTTTGTAAACTTTATCTTTGTACTTTTTTGCTTTAAGCGTTAGCACTTAGATAAGATCAGCTATTAGGAACGATAGAATTTATACTTTATTTTTAAATCGTATCAACGACCTTTCACAACAGAAGCACGAGCTACAGTGATTCTATTGAAATCTCATAAATTTTTTTTTCTTGGGTAAATTTTACTGCAATCACGCTCGAAGCGAAATTCGCCGATTACAGATATGGCTATTAACGATTGACATCAATTCTATTCTTAACGACGCAGTTTTTTTTTACGAGCAACTCATCATCTCGATGACATATTAAAAAAAAAAAAAATTATAATTCGTAAATTGATTCTCAAAAATTCTAAAGATATTCCTGAAGCAATTTTCTATGTTCGTCTTTCAATTTTTCCAAATTTTCCTGACGACTATTAATCCTATTTATAATATCAGTTTTCTTTCCAAGCTGTTTAAATTCAGCCGCTTCAAGTTTATCCACAAAATTCAAATACTCCTCATAATTGATCTTTTTAAAAGATTCACACAATTTTTTCCGTATTTCAGATTTAACATCAGCAGTCATATTATCTGCATAATTGAAAAGTTTCCGAATCTTTTCTACCATTCTTCCGTTAATATTTTCCGCTATAAATTCTTCCATTGCAACCGCTTCAGTAAATCCATGAACCCGTTTAAAGTAACTTCTATAATGCCTCAAGAATTCATCACTCAAATTTCTATCAAGCATATCCTTAATCCATAACCCGCGTTTGTAAATAAGAAAATAGTACTGCAACCACAAAATAACTCCTTTATTTTCATAGTACAGCAACACTTCATTAGCTTTCGGAGTAGTAAAGTCAAAAAGATCGTTTACAGTAATTTTTTCAATTTCAAAATCATCAGGGCTGATTTTCAAGCACTCAATAGCTGTTTCCTCCAATTTCCGAGTTTCTTCAATTAGACTAATGGGTCCGTTTTGTAGCATTAAATTTGGCATTAAGAAAGGATGTTGGATCAACATTTCTTGTAATTGAGACCAAATAATTGAATTTGGCGGCAAAGATAGTAATTGGCAATCTATAAAAACTTTTAGCGCAGCATCTTTAATCTTACTATTAAACGCATCTACATTTCTTCCAAAATTGATGAAAGTTTTTGATTTAGTTATCAACTTTGCTTTTTGCATTACCGCTTCTTCAGCTTTAACCATTTTCAAATTCTCATGATAATTCTGACTTTGGAATTTGGCGCCATCTGTTGCTGACGGCGGGAACCAACTTTGTGGGTCAACAGTCCAATTTCCACCATTTAGAAGATTAATAGGAGTCAAATTAACACTACCTACAACATTATTGTAGTTTTTGAGGAAATCTGAATTGACATTAGCGCTCAATAAACCCATTGAAGTAAAGCTTTCGTCAACCAGCCGGGTAAACTCGCTTAGCTTGTCGCTTATTGATAGTGTCATTAATTTCCGTTTCTTTGAATGTTCGTAGACAAGAGTTTGACTCTTGAGGTTATCTAACAGAGCATTAAAGCGGTGAATGCGACCGTTGTACAAAATGGCGAGCTTGTTGTGGCGCTCTGTAATGACGGCCAACCTTCTAGATCGTTGGTACAATTCATTAGGGCCCATTCCGTCGATTACCGGTTTGGGGAATCTATTGTTAAAAGAGTTAAACTCTTCAGCTAGGGAGTTTATTTCCACGGCAAGTGATAAAGTTTCAGAGTATTCTTTGCTGAAGTCGTTCATGTAATTGTTCAGGAATTTCATTATTTTTTCGTACAACTTTTGGATCTTGCGGAGTGATCCGTAGTTTTTTTTACGCCCAGAGGCATTTAGTTGTTTGAATTGTAGTATGTAGGTGTCGTAAACGAATTTGAATGATAACCGAAAGGTGCTGATGGATACCTTTAAGTTACGAATGAATTCGATGAAGGAGTTTATACTTTCGGTGATAGTTATTGATTGTGATTCGGGCATTATTTGTTGTTTTTTTCTTATCTAATAAATAAGATTAAAAATAAAAAAAAATTTATATTCTTTTTTTCGGACCATTAGTCACATTGAATGTATGATATGATATAGTAATAGCATTGTAAATAGTCAACATAGAGATAATTTTAGAGAACCGGGTTCGAATCCCAGGAGAGTCGAAAAAATAAAAAATAATTTTTTTTTTAAATTAATTTTTTATTTTTGCGATTTGAAGTCAAGAAGGTAAAAGCATCAATTATTGACACTATAAGAGATAAGGATTTCAATTTTTTTAACATTTTAAAATAAGATATGTGAACTATTGACATTTTTGAAGATATAAGCTCACCCTGACATTAGGCGACTGCTTGGCCGAGGGGTTTAAGTCTTAAACTGCCGCACAGCAGTCGCTCAGGCGTGGGTTCGAGCCCTGGCAATTGCAATTTTTCTTCTGCGATTTCCGGGGCTTGCTCCCTTGCCGACTGTACCTTGACCAGGTTTCTGTGGTTTTTCCTCGGTCATTGTGCCCCTAAAATAAGCGGGGCACAGGCAAATGCGGGTACAGACTGTAAGCCGGCCACAGCCGCAAAAACGGAGGGTCCTGTTACAGGACTATATAGGAGGAATAGCTACAGGAGGAAATAGCTACAGGAGGAAAATAGCTACAGGAGGAAAATAACTACAGGAGGAAATAGCTACAGGAGGAAATAGCTACAGGAGGAAATAGCTACAGGAGTAGCTTGGAACAAGAGTAGCTTGGAGGGGGCCTGGTACTGCGAAGTAATGCTAACGCGGTCCCGCAGTACCAGGTACAAGAGAGGGGAGGGTTTTAGTGAGTAAAAATCTCACACTACCGGCAACCAATATCTCCAAAATCTAGCCGGTGTCTTATGAAGATTTCCCTCCTCTCGCCCAAAAAAAAAAA